AACTCGGAAACTCGGGGCTTAAAGAAAATTTCGAGTTTCCCACTCGTAATAATGACTTTGTGGTGGCGTTCATGTGCGTTCAACTCGTAAATACGATCTATCCGACATGACTTGAATGCACCATTAGAGCATGTAACAAGATCAGGAATCGTTAAAGGGACATTATCCTCAAGCAGTGACAGAATCAGAAACTCGTACTTTGTGCACAAAAGTTTTATTAACTAAACACTAACACAAAACTAGTCTAACAAACATACACACACACACACACTCACACATGCATACAAAGGGGAGCTAAAGTGGATGAATGAAACCAAAGAATGCAGCTATGGAAAATGGGTCAGTTAACCACCTGAGAGAAACCATCAACAGGGTCTACAGCTTATACTAAACCTCTGTTTTGTTAGTTAAATGTATGATACTTGCATTTCCTTGGCCATTGAACAAACATCTGGATGCAGTCTCAGATCAAAGTCTTGATGGTTTGAAGGCTTGGTGTTGTTGGAATTGCTTTCACGTTCTTCCAGGTTTGAAGAGTGATGAACTCCAAAGATGTTATTGTGACTCAGTGGTGGTCTCCCAGGTGGAAAGTTGCAACATGGCTGGGACGAGAGGGTAAGAATGCTGAAGAAAAGAGAAGAGAGAAGTCACTGATGTGAGGCCTTTTAAGTTCTATGGAGTTCACACCTCCAGGGGGTTGGTGAGCCAATGGTGACTTAAACTTTCGGAGGGAACATTTACAACTCTTTGTCTTTGAACATGGTATTTTGCATATATAACGGAATATAACCAATATATATGTATATACAGTGGGTACGGAAAGTATTCAGACCCCCTTAAATTTTTCACTCTTTGTTATATTGCAGCCATTTGCTAAAATCATTTAAGTTAATTTTTTTTCCTCATTAATGTACACACAGCACCCCATATTGACAGAAAAACACAGAATTGTTGACATCTTTGCAGATTTATTAAAAAAGAAAAACTGAAAAATGCTCAGTATTTAGTAGAAGCACCCTTTTGATCTAATACAGCCATGAGTCTTTTTGGGAAAGATGCAACAAGTTTTTCACACATGGATTTGGGGATCCTCTGCCATTCCTCCTT